GCGCGCCGCACCGGGCCTGCCCCGCCGATGCGCTGGCGGCGCTGCGGTATTGCTATGTCTAGGTGGGATTCTGACTTAGAGGCGTTCCGTCGTAAGCCCACAGATGGTCACCTCGCGCCAGTGGCTCCTCAGCCAAGCGCACGCACCAGGGGTCTGAACCTGCGGTTCCTCTCGTACTGAGCAGGATTACTATTGCAACAACACATCATCAGTAGGGTAAAGCTAACCTGTCTCACGATGGTCTGATTCCTTCAGGTTTTCAGCAGAGCACTGAATAGCCCAAGAAATCTCATGTTCCTTATCTGCTCTGTGCTTCCTGCAGGAGTCATCTTCCCCAGAGAGTGTATGCCCAAGTGTCATCCCGAACCTGTCTGTTGCTTGGAGGTTGGGAAGGGATGGCATTATAAAGTTGCTGTTCTCCAGCTCTGCTGACCCACATCCTGCACTTGGGCCTTTTCATTTCTGATGTAACATACACCATTTCTACAGACCTGTTTGACTTTTGTTAAAACAACTATGTGTATAGATGACCTGACACTCTACATGTATGTGGAATAAGTTTACTTTGGTGCCTTCTCAATAGCTGATGTATGACCTTATTTTGCAGGTCATGGACTGTGCAATGCCTCTGATCGGTGAGCACCAGACTGAAGACCGGCAACATATAACTGAACTAGTCGTAAGCAAAATGAACCAAATGTTGTCCAAAACTCCTATACCATCTCCTCAGAGACCCACTGCCACTCAGCAGCCCCAGGTAGGAAACTGTTGATTGTAAAATAGAGCATCTTATTCTATAATTCTAAGCTCAGAGTTCTCCTCAAAGAGTTCGGCTGGAAAACTGTGCAGGCATACCCTGAACTACAAGGATTAAAGAACTTCTCAACATGTTTTATATGGTTGTCATATTAAATGAGATACCTCCAGATAAAACCAAGAAGTGCAAGTGTTGGTGTGTTTCTACAGGTAAAATGATAAGTGGATCAGTGAATTGCCAGGCTTTGTACTGTTTCCTTCCAGTTACATTTGTAATGGAAATAATAAGCACTGCCATAGACAATCTGTGCCCTGATGATGTCAGAAAGAATACTAAGACAATAGTTACTGTTCTTGTAGGAAATTAATTACATGATAAACTTTTTAATGTGTGCTGCAATTCAAGAAATACCTTACAAACCTAGGAACCTCCTGAAATATGTTCAGCATACTGGAAAACTAGTGTCTAAGGCTGCAAATAGATGGATTTCATTTGTTTTATCTTACATGGTCTGATAGTTGAAGTGTGGGGATGCAGAATTCTGTCCTGCCTTGCTACCAGCTGGCTTTCAGACTTTGGAAATCATCTTTGTGTTTCTATTTCCATGCTTAGAAAATGTCAAGTTTATTTTATTGATCCTTTAAATAACTTCTGAGAGTGTGGTATTTTTGTGAAAGGCTCTAAAAATGTAAGTTTTGCCTCTGAATTGGAGAGACAGGATTTGATGGGTGGACTATTAGATGGTTATGGAATTGGCCAGATGACTTTGTCCAGAGTTACAATCAATGGCTCAGTGTTCAAATGGAATCTAGGAACAAGTGGTGTCCTTCAAGGGTCTGTACGGAGACCAGTCCTGTTTAGCATCTTCATAACTGACATACGTAGTGGCATTGAGTGCACCTCAGCAAGTTCACAGATGACACCAAGCTTACTGGTGCAGTCAACATGCTGGAGGAAAGGGATGCTGTCCAGAGGGACCTGGATGGCAGGGTCCTACACTTGGGTTATAGCAGTCCCCCTGTATCAGTACAGACTGAGGGATGGAGTTGATTGAGGGCAGCCCTACAGAGAGGACATGGGTATGCTAGTGGGTGAAAAACTGAATATGAGCCATCAGTGTGGCTTGAGCCCAGAACCCCACCGGGTGCTGGGCTGCACCCCCAGAGCGTGAGCAGCAGGTTGAGGGAGGGGATCCTGCCCCTCTACTGGCTCTGGGGAGACCCCCCCTGCAGCCCTGATCCAGCCCTGGGGCAACAGCACAAGAGGGATGTGGAGCTGCTGGAGCGAGGCCAGAGGAGGCCCCGGAGCTGCTGCAAGTGCTGGAGCAGCTCTGCTCTGGAGCCAGGCTGAGAGAGCTGGGCTGGGGCAGCTGGAGAAGAGAAGGCTCCGAGGTCAGACTAGATGATTTAGTCTGTTAGATCTAGTCTAGACCTAAAGGTCTGTTCTAACCCAAACCATTCTACCATTCTGTGATTCTTTGAAAAGTGCTATATAAATGCTAAATAACATCTTTTATATTTTCATAGCTAGGCAGCAGGTCTGATCAAAGAGCAGCATTATCAGCTACAACTTTCATCTACTTCTTTTAATATACTGAAGGGACAAATCATGGCAGTACATTCTGAGAATAAACTATTAAGGACTGTATTGCTGCTCTGTACCAGTGCAGCTCCATGGTAATCAGTTAAGCAACAGAAGGAGCCAAACTGTAATACAGGAATTACCAAGCCTAAATCAAGAATCTATTTTTACTCCCAGTAGGCTCCACAGCAGGTAAACAATTTGAAACCAATTTTGTGGCATACCTCAGACAGACTAGTTCTTGAGGCAGAATGACTAATTTGTTCTTCAAATATATCATCATGCTTTAAGTTATAAAAATATGCCATCCCACATAAAAAAGTGGTGTGGCTTCTATTTATATTACAGTCACTTGAAACTAAGCACAAAATTGTTTCAACCACGGAACCACATACAATGGAGAAGTTTCCATCCAACATGACTCAGGTCCATTGTAAAGGGCACTAAAAAAGAAAGACTAGAGGGGAAAAAAATAAATCACCTTATGCCAAATTATAGTTTCTTTTAGGGCTAGTAAATTAGCTGTATATTAAAATGAAGCAAAGAGTCAAATTTAGAGTTGCCCAGAGCATACAAGTCGACATAAATCAGAATTTAAACCAGTAATAGATATTATTGTAACATTAATAGATTCATTTGGAAGTCATTTGGTCAGTTTGATATTTCACTTTCTGAGGGAAAAAAATACAATGTCTCGTGTATGCATGATTCCTGGATTTTAAAGGTGGTGAGGGAGGAGGAATGGTTGTGATTACTGGTGTCATCGAAAGCAATGGTGTATGTAAAAAAAGTCTTCACTTGTTTCCAAAGAAAAACTGCTGATGTAAGTCCAGGATGAAAGTAGGACACAAGAACATTTTAAGCAAGTTCTGAATTCCTCAGTCATTGCTATCACTTGTCATGTCCATGAAAAGGGTGTTTTCCTCTTAAAGAAAGAAGTTTTGGATGACCCCAAAGACAGTATTTTCTGCCTGGCTGCTGAGTGTCTATTAGATTTCTAGTCTAGGTTTCTGAAGAATTCAGCCTTTGCTAATGGCAAAAGGATGTTACTCAACATTAATCTTCCTTTCCTTATCCTATCCTTAAATTCGGGATTGCAGTTGACCAAACCCAGAGATATCCCTTTGGAATATATGCAATATTTGGTAGTTGTCCTCTCAGTTAACCAGACTGTTCTTCCTTAAAATTTTCCTTGTTCTATTATCCACCAGTTTACAACAGACAAAGGGGATCTGAGTTTCTGCAGAAGATACTATTTGCAAATACCCATCAATCTTCCTAGCTTTAAACGAAAACTATGAAGCAGATCTGTAGTCTTTAAATCAGATATCTTCTCATGTGCAGTTAATTTTCAGCTGGGTTGTTTTCCCAAGAATAAAACCAGGCTGTTAAAACAAGCTGTGCCTTTCATCTTTGAACAGGCTTTTCCTTTTCTAATCTGAGAAATTATTTCCTATTCTTGGGAAATACAGTCCATTCATTTGTGGGGCAGGGGGATACTGCATATTTCTACAGGTCACATAAAATGCAGAGCCAGTAATTTATCCCAAAGCAACTATGTGCATATGTATGTGTGGTCTTAGAAACCAAAGTAATATAAATATCAAAGAGTAATCTGTGTGTTTTGCTACTTCTGCTTTTAAAGGAACAGTTTACAGTCAACAGTACAGCTGTAGGTGTGCCATGGCTTGAATTCCCTTATTATCTGTGTGGGTTTTAAAAATCACTCATAATCTCCCCACTGCTGTGGCACTGAGTGCACCCTACCTAAGAGAATGCTCCAATTTATAACTGCCCACAATGGTCAGCACTATTCCAATTAATTATCCATCAGAAAACAAATCAATGATTAGGAAAATAAGTCTTTGTTTAGAGCAAGGAAGCCAAATCTTGATGGAAATGATTTGCCTTGCAATATGTTCTGAAGGCCAGCAAAGTTCTCTCTGTCAGAGTTCCAGAAGGAGCAAATTCCAAAGGCAGGGACCTCAGACAACAGTCTTGCTTATGTTGAAACCTCAGAAGTGCACATCCTGTGATTCTTAAACCCATTAAATCTATTATCTCTGCTATCAGATACATTGAGATTATTTAAATAGGTATTTTGTACACTACATTTTTATTGATTTATCTGTGAACACTTGCACAGACTCCACAACAAGCTCTGCTGGTATCCAGAGAGGCAGAGAGCCTGTGGGGAGGAAAGCTGTGGTTTGCTGCAGCTCTGTGTGCTGCACCTCTCACCACCTGACCGCCTGCAGCCAACAAACGGGGTCTCAGCTTTTCCCTGGTGGTCCCAGGCTACAGTTCACTGTGTGCCTTTGACAGCAGGACTGAACTGTGTTGGGATAGAAAGGACTCTTGATGAGAGGATTCAAAGCTTGACAGTTTTGCTCTCATCAGCTACTTTACAAGTGTTCCCACTACAAAGGAACGTGAGAGTTCCTTGGCACTTTTGGAGAAGTTCTACGTGATATCACTACAGTGGTCAAAAAACTCTTCCCAAAAATTGAGTTGTTTCTATTTAATTTGAAACCATGACAACTTGTTTTACTCACAACCGTGATGAAAATATACAGTAGGACTTTATGTGGGAATATGATTTTAATACAAGTTTTCCATGAGACAAACCTGCTATACTTGCAGGCAATAAAATGATGGAAATCTAAATTTCCATCTTCTGTAACTTCTTCGAATACTTTTGACGGATCTTTTGAGAAGCCTTTTTCAAACTTTCCATAAAAGCCACCCACTAGGTTCAAGTACCCAGTGAAATGTTGTAGCCAGTGGAACCCCTTATCTCTGTCTCCATCTGTTGATAAGAATGATCACTGCTAAAACTTCTGCTCTCCGGATTTGCAAAACTCTGCAGGTGGATGCTCAGTGCAGGATGTTTCATACTTGTTTCTTTGGCAGCATTTGTATATAAAACAATATTAGTAAACCATCTAAGCAATAATAACATCTATTCAAAGCTGCATATCAGGTCGTGATATGAATTGTGTTGAACTAAATTCTGTGTAGAACATTACATTGTGCATGAGCATTACTGTAAAATAAAAATGGTTACAGTCATGTTAGCAATAGAAGCTAAGGAAAATCATATGAGGAAAATGTTATTTCAGTCCAGCTCTGTTGAGACCATGTTGCATTATCCCCAAAAGGATGAGGCATTTATTACCCTTAATGGAAGGAGGAAATCTGTGCACCTGAGACACAATATCCCTCCTGACAAATCACCACAAAGGGCACAGCACTCCAAGCTACATCCTGGTTCTGATTGATTTGAACAAAAGGAGTAGTAGCCCAGTACTAAACCAGTCCACAAGGCAGAAGTAGAGAGGACAGTACTTTAATTATTTTGAGCCTGGAACAGCAGAATGTGAAGTGTTTAATTTCTTAACACTCTTTTCTAGAATGTG